GTCACCAGGCATTCAGCACTGATGAGACTCCCGAGATAAGTGAAGCGGTCTTAACGTTCGACTACTTCACTCCCTATCACTAGTTCAAGTGCCAACGCAAGTCAATCTTGAAGCAACACTTTGTATTTCGAGGGTGAGAACCGCATCCCGAACATGCTTGCATTGTTGCTTATGGTAGTCAGACGACTCTGCATTTTGTCAGTCTTCCCCAAATAGGAATTTTTATCAAGTAGAATAAAAAATCATTCTCATCCAAATAAAACTGCACAATAAGTAGTAGTTTAGAAAATGAAACAAAAAGTACAATTCTGATCTGTTGATTTCACTTGATTTAACACACGAAAACAAAATAAATTTTGACAGATAAAATCTCGACAAGATGACAAATAAAAATTCAACTGTCATGTTTTGGTTGTTGTTGTTCAAAGTCTAATCTAATCAGTAAACAATTTGAATTGTTCAGATAGATTTTTTAATGTGATTCGATCATGGTTTATAACGTAACTTGACTTCAGATTGATTTGCACATAGACATAGAGCAAATGTATTTGTAGTACAAATGTTAGCCTTATACATTAAAAACATATTTTGATTGAATTTTTTGTGTGTGTCATAACACTGACGTTTAAACGCTTTCATATATCGCATGAAATCTTAAAAATAATGATTTCTCAAAGATACCATACTATGTAATTCTGGTCTGACCTTGAAAACGAAGCGGTCAAAATGAAATTTTACTAATTCAAATTTTATTGTTCATAAATACTCAAGCAGTAAATCATTGCCAAACAAAATAAAATCTTTAAAATATGACGTCAACGCCTATAGAATGATAGAACTAATAATATTTTGAATAAAATGTTAAATTCACTAAACTTATCAATCATCAAAGACACATGGGTTTACATTCACGTAGATCTTTAGTGTGCTACTTGTAAAAATCATTCATTAACTGTATAGATAGTTGATATATACGTTTATCATAGAAAGCAGTTTTATAAAACAAACATGCCTATCCAGTACCTTTCATTACCAAATTTATAGAGAGCAGAAATAAGAGGAGTATTGAAGTTAAAGAATAAGATACACATTACACACTCTGGAAACCAAACTATTCGTCACATCATTCAAATGCTCGTCAATTGATACACTTGAATGCTATTACGAGTTCACTTTACTCGGCAAAAACGGAACGAAGAGCAATGATTCAGTGATACGATAAGCTATTCAAATCCAAGTGTCCCAGGTCCCGCTAACAAAGGCAAGAAGTCTTGATAAGACGTAGAGAATGTATTCAACAAGCACCCAGAAAATATGAAGTTACTAAGCACACAAATCAAGCTTATTTATACAATGATAGAGACGCCCTTGTGAGAGCCACAAAATAACGTACTAAAATAATCCATCAACCAATAACAGTCAAAGATTTTTCGAGCAGGAAATGTAAGCTTTAGGTCAACTAAGCGTCTCATGGCGCGAAAACAGAAATTCAAAATTTCAGCAATAAATTACAAAAATTAGGACCTTTTCCAAGTGATTTCTGGGGATCTAACGTAACCAACAATCATATTGTTAGTAATATCATGTTCTATGAGTTGAACACAGAAAAGAGTTCACTTTCATGTTTCTATCTCTGTCAAATCCTTCTCTTAAATATCATTTAACGAATCATTGAATGGTATCATTGATTCCATATAAAAAATCAACAGATTAGTTACTTCATACATTTTATTGTGTACATGTTGGATAATCGTTAATGTTGACCACTTTTTCTATGGCTGCTATTGAGCTAATCAAAATGAAATAGCATTTCGGTAGATTGCACACTACAGAATGAATAGGCGATTTTCCATTTTTTTTTAAGCAAAGATACAAAAGAATAAATCATTTATTATCTAACAGTAACCAAGTCATTCAGTCACTACCGAAGTACGTGCACATACACACACACGCAAACACAAATAAAAGAGAATTTAACATTTGCATTGATCACAATACATCATTCTAAATATGGTGAATTTTACTGTTTTAATTTTTTTAAAACTTGATAGTTCTATGATTTCGACTAAAATAGCACAGATTTACTGAAGAGATACTTACAAAAGGGATAACAAAATAGATGAAAGAATTAAATGATACAGTGTTAAACTAACAGAGACAGAGAGAGAGAGAGAGTACAATCGTGTATGCAGTCAGTCAGTAACAAAAAATCAAAATTGCTTCATTTCTATAATTCAGAAAATAAGCCCACAGTAGTTGACGTTGTATTATTTAACTATGAATTGTTAAGTTAATTCAAGGCTGATGAGACATGAAATCAAAGAAACTACGTTATAAAGAATGTATCAATCAAGCTGCAAACTATTTCTTCATGAGTCAGTGATAATGTTCAATTACTTGAACACTAATTTTACGAACAAGTTTCAATCCGTAATTAAGAATGCAAATTCGAACTAGCTGCACCTTTTCAGCGAAATTTCATAAAATGATATTACGAAGCAAAGTTTTCTGTTCTTGTTCATGAATTATCAAAACATTTCTATCAGATTAGACGAGTATTTGGTTGACAGTCATCATAATGATGTGGAATGTATACTATTACAGAAAAACTACACTTAAAGACTTTAATGGCTTATCCTCATACTTTAAGGCTTACTGAATTTAATCTAATAACCTTTTTTGAAAAATTTATAAAATATAATCATCACAATACTCAGTCTCAATATCATTACAAGTTACAGATTAATAAAACTTATTTAAAGTAAGTGAATGGAATAATTTGTTTTAACTCAAACTACTAATTTTCTCCATTAGAAACCTTGAAGCATTGGATGGCCGTTTCATCCTAGTATAGAACTCTTCAGCGAAGTTATATAATAACAACCATGGGTGCCGACTAAGTGATCTAAAGGTTAAGCGTTCACGCACAAGACCGAAGGTTCGATTCTCACGAGAAAGGATTGTGAATTGATATGCTTGTCAACTGGTTTACTTGAATGCTAATACGAGTTCACCTTACTCGGTAACCGGAAGCGAAGACAAATGATACAGTGACACGGTAGGCTACTTTAACCCGAGCGTCTCAAGGCCCAACTAATTAGAGGAAGAAGTCTTGATAAGGGGTAGAAAGTGTATTCTACAAGCACCCAGAAACACGTGGTCGACAAGCACACAAATCGAGTTTAATTATACATGATAGAAACGTCCTTGGGAGAGCCACAAAAATAGCGTACTAATAAAACACATCAACTAATAACAATCAAGGATTTCCGGGCGGAAAATGTAAACTCAAGGTCAAGTGGTTAGCCTATGAGCGAAAGCAAAAAACCAGAAATTAGGACTTTTTCCAAGTGAGTTCTGAGGATTTAACATCCCCAACATGGATGCTCACTGTTGATAAGTCTCATGACTAGCGCGAAACAGCCGTCCAATGCTTCCAGGTTTCTAACAATGATCACTCCATGATTTCAATAGAAAATAACAATCTCCATGCCTTTATAATGAATACTAACTTTCTATCTTAAATGATTACTATAATTAAATATATTGCTTCTATTTAAATTAAAAAGTTATATAATGAATAAATAAAAAAAATTAATCATTTGATAAATTGTTTAAATTTTATTAAATTTTACTGTTGCTGAAATGACAACACAAACAAACAAGTAATACACCGATATACACATACATACTACTAATACTGCTACTTCTACTACTACTTACTACAACTACAAATTTATCTTAAATCATTTTTCCACTTTTTTTCTCTTTCTTTTTGGCATGTATACAATAAGATTTGCAAGTACGTACTTGTACATATATATATATATATATATATATATATATATATATATATATTTACGCATACATATAAAAATGTATCATTTGTACTATTACTATGTACAGTAATCTTTAAGTATTAAAAAAAATTAAACCATAGTGCAATTTTTTTTTCAAACACTAGAAAATCAATTGGATTTTTTTCTAATGGTCACAAATCGGTGTTTGCAATAAATAAATAAATTTTTTTAATAAAAAATAAAGATTCAATTCTAATATGTTCATATTTCAGGAAAGTTGACCAACAAATTTACCGATTTGAATTACATGTGAAATTATTTTTCTTAAGAAAAGTATTATTTGCTTAAATGTAATCAAAACTATGAATTTCTATGATATTACATTTATGTATATGTATACTGGTCAAATTGAAAGTTGATCGATTGAATTAGATTAGTACTAAAATGTAAGCAACCATAATATTGACTTCTACTGCTACTGCTATTGTTACTCAGTGTGATGAATTGATGTGAATATCTTCATAATATCACACATCGATGATAGGTTGTAAAGCCCAGTATTAATGTGACATAATTTGACGTTGGTTTAAAACACATAAGGAACATAACTTTTTTCGAAAATTCTAAATATATTTTGCAAACAACAGTCAACTAGCATGAAAACTAGTTTCTAGCATCTCAACTTGTAACTCTTGGCTACTAAATCGGAGGTTTAACAATGCGGTTCATTTAAATCTGTTTCTAATCAATTTGTTTATGAATGTCAGTTCATGTGGATGACAGTTTTCATTTTAGACTTACATCATTTGAAGACGTTGTGAAAGTGAAGGAGCACCGAACAAATAACCAACCTTAGCTTGAATCTCATTAACAGTATGTTTTCACCACCAAATACCGAATCAAATCTCCCGATGTATATATTATGAAAGTTATGTAACTGTGAATGAGTTTGTAGTGGTTTATGATTCCAGCTTCAAACTCTATACACGATCATCTTTTAAACAGTCATGCAATATTTATGCTAATGATAACTGGAACATTAGTTATGTGAAGTCATTTTATACCCTATACGTGAATGAATGCATTAACTGATTAAAAAAATCAGTTAACTTCATTACTCAAGAACAATTTTGTTTGAATAAAGTAGACCGACAAAATAATAGTTAAAGCGAGGACAATAATAATAGTAATAATGCTTACCGCCATCACGTCCCCGATTGTGTGGTACTTCAATACCCGAGATTAGACGACCAGTAGCCATTGTCATTGCACCTAAATGACTAAGTACACCAGCACGAGCTTGTTCTAATGTTTCTGAACGCCAACGTTTGGTATTCTATAAATGAATTATTTTAGATTAAAAGTAATCTGCAATGAAACTATATTATTTTAATAGATAAAATATGATTTAATTAGCTGAAGGAGACATTTCAGTAGTTTATGTACAAACAAGAAGAGAACGTATAAACATTTTTATGATTATGATTGTCAATTATTGAATAGATAGTTCAGACAAAATACAGGGGGCCTCGTAAAACAACTCACAAACAACGAATAATGAATTCTTCAGAAATAGTCGTCATAAAAATGGCTCACTTCGAGTCTGAGTACACAGATGGCAACCTCATAGTCGGACAGGTAAAAATGATCGTCATGAAATTATTATGACTGTATTATTGAACTTATTCTATGTATGATGGGGTTGGTTGAGAGGGAAACCTAACATAAACTTATAAATTACCTAAAACTTCGTTGTTTAAACATTTTTCTAATTAGCGTTACACAACACACAAAAGTTATGGCTTTGAATTTATAAACTTTGCTATATTGGAATTATACGTCAGAATGTTTAGGCGATATGATTTCCTGATGAAATGCACTGAAAAGGTGAATTTTTTTTTCAAGAAATCTTATTGATAGACATACATTTAAAGATTATTGGGTCAAACACGCCTTGTCTATAACTAAATAAAAAAATGTGTCATACATGTCAGAATATACATAATGAAAAACAAGTTTATTCTAGTTAATTCATTGTAAATAAACGAGTTATAGTCAAATAATAATAATAATAATAATAATAATAATAATAATAATCTCAGTGCATTAATAAAATTTACTAATATGATTGTTGATTGCCCTTCTTGATTGGAAACAATTACAAATCAATTTATACACAGTTTATTTATTATTTTAAAGAAGTATTGTTATTGTTATGCAATGTCTTATGGCGTAGGCGAGTTATCCGTTCGCTAACCAAAGGACGGGTGTACTGCGCAGCAGTTCGCTCCGTTCTCCTATATGGATGCGAAACATGGCCGTTAAGAGTAGAAGATGTTCGTAGGTTACTAGTAATCGATCATAGATGTTAAGAAGCATTGCTCGCATATCGTGGGACAATCGAGTAAGCAACGGTGTCATTAGGAAACGGGTGCTAGGTAAGGACGGCAGATCAATAGATGAAGTAGTGAAACTTCATCAGTTGAGGTGGTTTAGACATGTGTTACGTATGGCTAACCACCGACTGCCTCCACGAGCTATGTTTTGTGGTGTAGGAGTAAGTTGGAAGACAGCTAGGGGCGGCCAGACCAAAACATGGCAGAAATCTATGAAGTCACTAACAAGTGGACTGAGTCATGTTGGTAGATGCAGACTACCTGGTTGTGGTCCGCGAGACGAAAGTCACTAATGGTTAGAGACCTCGAACGACATGGCTCAAAATCGTTTCCAACGGTACAAGTGCATCCATTCTTTGTACTCTCTCAAATCCTAATCTTCTGGAATCGTCAGCACCTCTACCTTTATCTTTCTAACCTTATCTAACTGAAATATACTTCTTGAATAATATCTTGCAACCCTAGTCTTCTTCATTACCATTAATACCTCTACTATCTTTATCACTATGGGATTTGATTTGACATTTGCGTCTCTGTGTTAATGTGGTATGGCTACATGAACTTATGTACATACGTACGAAGTTCTACGTTGCAACTGACTGACTGAATGCCTTGAATAATAATTCATTTTAAATATTTTATTTTGAAAAGTAACACCGAAAGTATTAGAATTTATTAATAATAATAAGTGAATAATATTTAATTTGTGCAAAGCAATGAAAAACAATGAGTTAAAACGAATAATAACAGTAAGCGAAAATCAGCTTGAATAAATAAACAAATTATGGGGATAAGATGTATAATGTCTGTGAATCTGTAGTACATCTGCTTAGAAATTTTCAGTAGCCTAACACTAATAGTAAAAGCATTATTTTCATTGTGAATTTTGTATCAAGCACTAAGATTCATTTAAGATGCGTTTTTTTGCTTGATTTAGTCGGTTGGGATACATTAATTACTGTGGGAGAGAACAAATCAGATTCCAGCAGACGAAGAAATTAAGAAAAAAGCTCAGGAGGTGGATAGGACATAAGTTGAGGTAAGCACGCAACTGCATCGCAAGACAAGCCCTCACCTAGAATCCTCAGGGTCAAAGGAGAAGAACAAAACCAAAGAACGATCAGAAAGGATGAGAATTGTAAGCAGAAATCAAAAGAATGAACACCAATTGGATAGAACTGGGAAGGAGGACCCAGGATAGAGGTGGTTGAAGAATGCTGGTCGGCGGCCTATGCTCCACGAGGGGTAACAGGCGTAAGTGTAAGGTTAGGACGCGTTACAGTAGTGTATTTGTAAAAACCATATTTTAATAGATGTAGATGATGAAATAGGACAACTCTAGGGAAAAATTACACTTTTATGTACAGAAACGACACATTAAATGAACGAGGAAATGGTTGAAAATGCTAGATATTGACTTTTGTTGAACCTTACACCAATTGAGGGCTGCATTCTCGAATATGAATTAAATTTAAGTAAACCAACCTAATGTTCATCCATTCATTCATTCATTCACAAAAACCCACTCAAAGATTTTGAAATGTTTAGTACTAAATATACATTTCATTAAGAACGTTTTAACAATCTATAACATAAAGCAAGAATTTTTTTATAGAAAAACAATTTGTTAGATCCTTCACTTTACTCTACAGTCATTGTTTTATACCTTGTAAATTACATTTACAATTATGTTTATATTTTTTCGGTAATAATTACCATAACTAATGATATTATGATTATTGTCTTAAAATTTTCTATGAATAATTCTTACATACCATCAATACTACATCTCATTTGCCTCTTCTGTTGATAACATACTGATGTAGGCGAACTAAATCTTTATTAAACCAGCATTGAAACCCTGGAAGTAACGAATAGTCAATTCAGCCTAGTATGGAACTTCTTCATGATCCCGCACGTGGTAAATCGAACCCAGCATCTGAGGTCTCGTGCACAAATTCTAGATCACTGAGTCAGCATCTGCCAGTGGTAACAAGTACTGCTGCGGAGGTTCATAATACCTGTTTTGCTGAATACCATTAGTTTGATTATTGCAAAGAATTTTCAGCGCAAATTATAAAAAGTCACAGCAAATTTCTTGTTATTACTATGCACTTAACCTGTAAATAACTAAATGTTTTTAGGTAGTGTTTAGTTGACATTTATATTTATCTATAAGCGCGCTCACGATCAATCAACTCTATGATAAGCAACTATTATTTCAACGAAGGATGTAAGAAAAATGAAATGACAGAATCCACCGAGGTGATACTTTTTAAATAATTGAGAAATTAGATTTGTGATTAGTTGTACACCAAGTTAAGCAATTAAAATAACGTTTAATTTAAAAAAAGACTTAATGATGTAAACAATTTTAAAGTATATTAACCTTTCACAAAACCAGTTAATGATATGTTGCAAAAGTAAGAAATTAATTCTTAAAATACCAAATAATTTTTACTAAAATTATATGTGTAACAGTTTTCAATACATACTAGATCATCACCATATAATGCTTCTTCATCTTCATAAATCGGTTTATTGATATCTTCACATGCACCTTGAATTGTACGTACACCATAGTCTATACGAGAGAGTAGAGCACGTTTTGGTTGACCAAGATCAATCATTTGAAACTGTAAAAACAAAAACAAAACAAATATTTAAACAATACATATCAATTTCCAATTAATTGAAAAATTTTTTAAACAACTGTTGATTGGATAAGGAATAGTAAACTTAATTTTCAAATATTGGAAAGCGGTATCATGCAAAAGTATGAATGGGCATGAATGTTATTGTACATGTAAATTAAATAAACACTTTATTCAGTAATTAGGATAATAATCCAAGCAAGAGATACAGCAATAATAGGATGTCGCCGACATGGTATGGGCCTAGGTAGGTGAATGGTAGGCTCTAACTTGTTTTAGTGGAGAGGTATCCCAGTAAGTAAGATGTTTGACTTTCATTCATTAAGCCATATGTTCGAATCTTTCCCTAATTATTTCGGTTTAGGTAAACACATAGTATCACTATCCATCATATATAGTAAGTGGTTCTTAATCAAGTACACAAATCGGAATCTGGTAAGTGAACTCAACAAACCAATCACACAATGGTTAGTTTTATTAAATAGAACGAAGAGCGTTCAGGTTTCATTTACGCTCATTACACAACTGAATAAACAATAAAAAAACTTGGCATAACAGTGCAGTAAATAATGCACTAGACAAATCAAAATGACAATATTGTGAGAGGAAGGAGATGTGACAACCGTTCGATAAATAATAAACAACAATTAGAATACAGAAAAAGTTATGGTTCATTATGAATAACACTGAGAGTATGGTTCATTCAATTGAATAAGTCTTCTTACTGTAGCATGTGTACTTTTATGCTGAGCCCACAGGGCGTGTCTCAGCCTTTGCACTAATTAATCAATCCATTCTGCCCGAGTTATTATTCACTCATCTTCTGACCTTGTCAATCATTTGCTGATATCTTAGTCATCTTTATTTCAGTATGTATGTATGTACATGCTTACTTTGCTTATCACATGTCTAGTTTATTTTGTCTGACTAACGAAACTTAGTCATGCTTTGTTGCATGGAGTTGGCTTACTCGCCTTCTCCGCTCCGCTTCGTTTTGCTTTAACGCTTCGTATTTTCATGTCTATTTGCGCGAACGATTACCTGAAATAAATTCATGCAACCGGAACGTATTTGGCTTCTTATTATCGCCGTCGCACAAACGTGGTTCGCCTAAGTATGATATACGGAAATTGAAGGGGAGATTTATTTTGTAGCATACTCAATTGTTCATAAACATCAGAGTTAGATCTTGGGCCACCAAAGTGGTGGGCCCTACTTCGGGTTCAATGCAGGAACCAAACTACGTTTGATTAGGAATGTAATAGGCCAATTACGTGCAACCTCTGGATTCTATTCGAACCCAGACCTAATATTGCTGACTCTATTGAGGACCAATAGATGTAAAGCCTAAGTATCTGTCATGCTAAATTTTTTGGTTGTAAAACAACTGCTTCATTTTTGTGAAGTATCAGTACCTTGAACGACATGGCTCAGAATCGTTTGCAATGGTGCAGGTGCATCCATTCTTTGTGCTCTCTCAAATCCTAACTTCCTGAATTTCTCATCATCTCTATCTTTCTCTTTCTAAAGCTATCTCACTCAATTATCCTTCTTGAATCATATCTTCGTACTCTAATCTTCTCCATTACTCCTAATTCATCTACTATCTCTACCACTATGGGATTTGAACTGATAGTTGCGTTTCTGTGCTGATGTGGTATGGTAACCTGTACGAAGTTGTTTATTTTAACTGAGTGACTGACTGACTGACTTAAAGTATCAGTATTGGGAGACAATACAAGGTCTGGAACCGGTTGAGACGACATTCTTTTGACATGCTCAAATCAATAAATCTGTTATTTAGTGACGATATCGAGATTGAGATTTGAATTATTATGCCGTAACACATATACTCTAACCTTGACATTCATTACAAGAGATCACTGCTGAAAGTAAGCAAAAAATAACAATGACTGATCATATTGAATCGACTAACCACTCATGAATATGTAGAGTAATTCAGATTACATAAAATAACAGGAAAAATCAAACTACTCGAGCTGTAATCATTATATAAATTTGATTTTACAATAATTTGTAGGCACTTAAATGTATGATTCCGATTCTCTAGATTCTATTACATTCTATTACATTCGGAACTAAATAAACTCTTTGCATATAATCCTGATAAAAACATGAAATTAGTAGAAAGCATTAAACAGTTATATAATGTATATATATTTATCATACAAAAAACTAAGAGTAAATTAGATTTATTCATTTCAAACAAACAATAGATGTATAGAAACTATTCAAATCCAATGTCAAGTTGACAGAAAATAAATATTTAAGGAACAATTCCTATCTAACATAATAAAAACACTGATGATAATAAATATGTACCATTTACAATGAGATTTTGATAACCATTCTTTACAATTATCACACAACCAGATAGATAATAGCAATGATTATGTTAAATGAAAAATAACAGGAGATGAATTGTATTTATTAGAAATTTGATGACAAAATTTGATATATATATATATATATATATATATATATATATATATATTGCAATATCTATTTTTGAAGGCTTTGTTTGTAAAAATCCCTCCATATATATATTTGTAATTTGTCCTTATTGATTCCTTCAGTTGTACATTTTGTCAATCTGTTCGATTCTATTTTATTATAGTTTCTATGTGCCTTTAATGAGTTTCTATATTTCATTCTGAACTGTATTTATGTTGTTTAAGTTGATACATAGTCATGGCGACAGCCATAATGATTTGTGTCTCCTTTGATTGTGTCGCTTGCATTGACTAGAACTGTGCATTCTTCTAGAATTCGAAACTCTGTGTTATGAAGCAACCAAATATTATCTGTATATATTTATATATTTATGATGAATATTAGAACCGTCAGTTACGTAAATCACTTGTTTTGATTTCAACTGGGCAAGACGCGTATCTAACCTACGTAGACATGTTTCGTTAGTTCAAACCTCAGTTTGGATTCTACATATATATATATATATATGTATATAATACATTTACATTGTACGTAAATGTATTAATAAAGTTTCCTATTATAACAAATATCGTCGAATGTCATAAGTGATTGGTAATGTGTACACTACATTACATTATGCGATCATTCAAATAATGAAATGATAAAACCGACATGCACATTTTATTGATTTATTCATTTTAACTTATTATAAACAAAAAATAATGTCTTGAAAATTGTCCAATAGGTAAAGTATCAACTTTCAAATCAATAATACATACGTATATACATATTTATATATATATAATGATGAAAAGTGTTATGCTAATATAGTCGCAACTATTTTTTTTTTAAATATATTTTATCATTAAAAAACTATTCCTTAGTTTGTCATGTAGGTGACCATTGTATTTATTACTGATTTAGTTTTTATAAGAACTATAACCGTTTTACCGCTAAAATACTTATACTTCAACAGAACAGTCTCTGTGTGTGTTCGAACTCTATTTTAGGAGCTTCAGTTTGAAAATTAAGCATAAGTAAGATTATGAATTTTCTATAAACTCCATAGGAATTAAAAACAGATACGAATATCTGGAGTTGATAAAGTAGTAAACAGTATGAATTGACTCTAATGGATTGTTAAAACTCCGAATTAATTGCAGTGACAGACAGACAGATACAACGCAGAAATTCGTACGTAAGTAAATCAGTTCACGTTGCCATACCACAACATCACGGAGACGCAACTGTCAGTTCAAATCCAAGAGTGATAGCGATAGTAGAAGCATTAGCAGCAATGGAGAAGATTAGGGAGCGAAGTTATGATTCGACAAGTATAATTCAGTGAGATAAATTTAGAAGGAGAAAGACAGAGATTATGAGGAATTCAGAAGGTTAGAATTAAAAAGCACACAAAGACTAGTAACCTACGAATGTCCTCTATTCTTAACGGCTATGTTTCGCATCCGTATAGTAGGACAGAGGGAACTGCTGCGCAGTCCTCTCGTCCTTTGGTTGGCGAGCGGATATCTCGCCTGCGCCATAAGTGCCGCAGGCTAGCAAAAGCCAATCGAGCCTTCGATTAACTGCAATTACTGAATTAATGTATTATTTATGCAACCGATAGAGTCGAATATCAGCCCAAATGGTTGACACCAACTGATTAGAATACGTAGAAGGCAATCAATAAATACAAAAGCTTAGCCGATCCCTAATTCGAGTTATCTGCTTGGAGAATCAGGTAACTAAACTAAGATATAATGACATTAAAGTCAAGTAAACATGTAGTCCACATAAATCACAGAATTAGTTTGCTGTGATGTTGAAGTTTAGTGAAAAGTTCAATTCGACCAATAGACAACAACAAAGAGTTACAATAAGCATTATTCGTAGGTTAACTCGTAATCAAAAAAAATACTGAGTAATAAAAAAAGTGTTTAAACCGTTATGATATATTCACAATTTTGTATTGTATTCATAAAGAATTTATGAATCACTTTTAAAGTAAACATTTTTTGTGCTTTTCTTTACACAAATATCAATAAATCAATGAATAAAAAAATGAAGAAAATCATAAGCTATTTTTTTTTTAAAATTTAATAATGTTTAGTTTTCAACTTTATTCCATTTGAAGAATCAATAGATTATTTACAATGTGAGAGAAAATCACAAAACTATCATCTACATAATGATATTATTTTGAATTCAACCAATAGGATAAAGGCAGCGAAGGTCATTTGATGAGGTCGCTTTTAAGTTTACCACCAGCGCCTATGGTTTTTGTTCACAAAAGTTAATATTTAAAAATTTAATCTAACTTAATGACAAAGTTCATGGTTATGTATTCTGATTTATGATTCTTTTTGTACGAAATTTAGTAATATGAATCAAGCGAACCAATAACTTAATGTTGACTAGTTCAGCGATAATTATTAAAATGGTTTATATATAAAAAAAGGGTTTTTAACTCTGTTTATTTGGTGAGAGTATATGGTTTGCATGTTTCAAAAGCATGCGTTTTTTTAGCATGGATCGATAATAAAAGGGACAACCATGGAAAACCATAAATCACTAACTAGTTTTTTCATTATAAAGTTATGCAGATTGTTGTTTATGAATGAAATTATGAATCAATCATTTTAAACTACCATTAAGAGTTTGCACGCAAAACCAAAGATCCTGGGTTCAACTCTCACGAAAAGCGAAGGTCGTGGATGAGCACTGCTGATGGGTCCCATACTATGGGACGAAACGGCCGTCCAGTGTTTATAGGTTTTTAATGGTGATTTAACAGTGATTAATTCATGATTTCACTAAATAGCTGTTTCGTCCTAATGGGGGAATACTTTACGGTAGGCGTCTATAACCATACTGGTTATCGAACGCAGGCCTTGCAGGTTCGATGGGGAGCTCCTAACCCTCAGATAAGTGAATCAGTGTTCAATAGTTTACATGTCATTTGTGTTTCAATGAATAAAACATAATCCGAAAAATTGTAACCAAATACAGTGCACTAGTAGACAAGTTTTCAGATACGGTGTATCATTTTAATTGAGGTAAGTGTAAATGCTAAAACTAACGATTATCGAATTACAAAAAACATAAACAAATAGATTTAAGCGAGGCGGTCGAGTAATAAAATGAAACGCAATGAAAAGTTAAAAATAGTAATAACTTACACCATATTTTCCACCAGGTGTTACATCCCCATTAGAATTGACAATAAGTCCAGAGCCAATATTATTATTACCACTTAAATTGTGACGTGATATAGTATGACTTTCAACAGCTAAATGACCTTCAGCAAAATTTTCTCTTTGACTTGCAGTACGTAATAAACCACTATGAGATAAATTTGCTTCTTGAGCACGATGTCCACGAGGTAGTGTTGCACTCATATTGGCAATAACATTAGCTCTACAAATTGAAATTATTAAATAAGTAGTATTGTAAAAGTAAAAATGACTAGATATTTAAACGAGAACACTTTGGTTTATTCAAATAGAATTATATATATATTGATAGCTGACATTCATTAGCTGGAAGTATCGGTATTTTCTCGTTGCTGAAACTAAAGAATCAATCTCTTTCGGCATCTTCAGTGTAACTATAGCTGATGTGCTCAATATTGCTATACAGTCACTAGCTTGGACTTGGT